GAGCTTTGCCACTTCTAGACCATGACGATGCGGTATCCTACTGGCTGTGAGGGCTTGCTATCAGTGGGAACGAACGGTTTATTTACAGCTCTTTAATCCTCTTCAGTAATAAATTGTTGTTCTGAAGTATCCATCGTGCTAGAGTACCAAACCCACCATTAGTTTGCTGCTTAAGCAGCTCATGAAGGAAGATTCCGCATCGGCAGCATCAGCAAAAGGTGGCTATTATAGACAAGATATATCTACAGGGATGATTGCCGAATGACCCCGTGTCTTCCAGAGGACAAATCGCCGGATTTGGCGATTCTAAGTAGTCGAGCATCTTGCCATGTTGGACAACTGTTTGAAAAATTTACTAAATTTTGACAAATTCCAACTTGTAATCAGTTTTTTTCGTTTAGATTCTTTTCCACGAAGCATTCCACGAAAAATATCGGGTGATCACGCGTCTCACTAAAGGATGTCCAGCGGATAGTGACTTCTGTCCACTTGATGTCTTCATGAAACGTTCCAAAGCATTCCTACCTGTCGATATCAAAAAGGATTGCTTACCAACGAAAACAAATGACGAGTTTATTCGAAAATGCAATAGCAGTGTTTTTCAGTCACAATAAATAATGCTATAATTAGTGGACCCGTATTTATGCGTGGTCCCCATAAAAAGATTATCTAAGCTGTATTAATATTCTTGGACCCCGAAAAGCTCCAGAGTACAAAATCCGCTCAAAAAACGCAGTCAAAACCAATCACACCGCATCCGCTCAATCAGCCGGACGCTTTTTCGATAATCGACCAAAAAAATGATGCATTTCTTCATCATTTATAATTGTCTGATATGGAGAAGAAATAAGAAGTTGTACAGTGTCACAGGGGCATCATCAAGAAGCCTCTTTCTTCATTTTGTGGCGCCACCACATTATTTTATCAGAAACAAACAATATTTTACCTCACATTCGAGTTTTCAGCACCGCTTCAGTACCATTTTGACCGACATACTGTTTATCCTGTAGCATTTGAAACACGCCTTGACACACCCGTGCGCAAGTGTCAATTTTCTTTTCCATCGAATTCAGCTGAAACAAAATCAAATTTCTAATTAAACTGATAATAACGTGCGAAAATTACGGCACAGAAATTAGTGATTTTATTCTGCGATAAATTTAACTTACAGGTTTTTAAATACTAAGATAGAGAAACTGCATCTAATCAAAATAACAAAATAAGCACGGGACAACCTGCATTTCCACACGGCATAATCTCGATCCAATAGTCATCGAATGACCTTTTCGATTGTGCGTTTGATACTGACCTGGTTTGCCAAGTGTTTGATCTAGCCTGAAAATTTTGTCAAGAATCATCTCACCTTAGCTTGTAATTTAAGAATTTTTCTTCCGAACCTTCTCTGTAACTCCTTGATCCGAACCATCATATTCAGATGACCCTGTGAATATTGCTCAATGACATCGCGAACATCGTAGGGCTTGCGCGCTTGCTGAAATTTGACAAAAAAAATAAATGAGAAACGCACCTATTGCCGGTGCGAGATGCATTTTTTGCGCAATTCCCTCCAGATTTTTGTCGCTTACGGCACTGTTTTTTCCGGCAGATGCTTCTAGCTAGAAAAATTGAAACTGACCACCAAGATTGTCAGGAAACATCGCTTTAAAGTTTCAGCTTTCCAGATTCTCTGGTTCCCGAGTTAGCAGCTTACCCATAAAAACTTTGGTGAGCCCGTACTTAGGTACCACGCGGGTAGGAGCGCCCATGAGGATGGGAACCCGTACATGCAAGCACATTAAGTTCCCAAAGTTACAGCCCTGTAGCTTTTGTAGGTCTCAAGATGAAAAATCGGCGCAGGTGAACAAACAGACACACACACATAAACAAAGAACCCCTCGTAAATATGCGTTTTCTGCATTGCATAGATGCAAAAAGCGCATAAAACCGCAGACATTCGAAACAGAACATCGGCAGAGAAGAACTGTGGTTTGAGTGGGAAAATATCTATCAACACCAGCTATCAACTGGTAACGCTGCTGTGATGATCCCATATTAGAAGTACCTCCCTCGTTTTGGTTTTAAAAATTTTTGAAAAGATCCTTAAAAGGGTTAACTGGACCATCGTTTCAAAAGCCATCCATTTCTACTTTAATGAAGCCTGCCAAAAACTGAAGAAAGAAGAGTGAAAAGGTTGAAAAGACATCATTTCGTGAAAATTTACCTGGAATTTACGACGTGCAACAAAGTATTTAATTTTGCGAATCGCTCGGATGGCATTTTTGTGCGTTTCCGTTAATTCATAGTAACTGAAATACAGCACTGATTTCGCGAAAATAAGATTTTGCGCCAATCTGTTTCTTTTTCTCCGTCTATTTATTTGCCTTAAAATCAAGCTAAAGTTCGATACACTATTTTTACCTTCTTCCTTATTCTCTCGTCCTTCACCTTCTTCAAGCAGTCAACATGTTCCTTTTCAAACGGCGAAATGGCACACTGTACTGATGATTCCCTCCCCGTTTTGCACAGATCTTGCTTCGTTTAGCTTTGGGATGAAATGAGGTCAGACTACCAGATCATAGCAAATATACAGGTTTGCTATATGCTAGAACTAAATGTCATCTCTGGGTGTTTTCACTAAATTATTGAAGTTCGAATATGTGTTTCTTTTTACATGGGTTAGCAACGCCAAATCAGTTGCATATGTTCATACGTAGGCAGTTCTAGTCCCTTTGTCTCCTCCAATCTCCTGGTTATGGATATTCACTATTTATATCTTTAAAATTTTCAAAACTCTTGATATTATTGCTTACTGTGATATTCGTGAATTGGATGTTTCTTCGCCGTCGACCTCTTGATCGGTACCATCTGATCTGGACTCGAAAAGTGTCGTCTTTTTGCTAGATCTTCTACTTTGGGCTAAAATTCATCGAGATTTCTGTTCATTCCAACTTTGTATGCCATATTTGATTGATATATGTTTATAACACTTCTGGTCGGTGTATTACTTCTCCGCAATCTAAGATGAGGCAGCAATGCTCAATACACGTCTTGAGCCTTGCCAAGTGCTCCTGAGAGGAAACCCTTTGAGCTGATAATTCCTTGAAGAGGCAAAACGAACGTCTGAATCGCCAGATGGCTAACCACCAGATAGTGCAGCAAAAAAATTGGTCAAAGCAACTGGTAAATTTACTAGTGTAACTGGAAAGCCACAATCTACAACTGGATCTAGTATCAAACAAAATTAATTTCAAATTTCTAATAAAAAGGTTTCTTTTAGAATATGCATACGATGCAGACGAAATGCAGTTTAGCTAAATATAGCGCAAAACAGAAAGAAATCAAAAGGCAAAAAAATCC